CTTGATCTCATCTGCGCTGAGCAGAGTGGGAGGTCTGGGTCTCCAGAGCAGCTGACAGAAGCGGTCCTTGTTGTTCTTCTGAAGAAGGCGGCCTTGGAACGTCCACAGCCAGTAAGCATTGTCCACCTAGACACACACATCAAAAAGTGGAAAAAAGGTTATGTGAGTGTAAGTTCAGTATGAATTCCCGCCCATCCACAGTGAATTGGTCTGGCAGGAAAGGAGTATGTACCTTGTGGCTCCACCAGGAGACTGAGGTGACGACATAGCGTCCGGTAGGGTCCCACTCTACGTCAGAGGCCATGTAGTGCTCTGCTATGTTCATCATGGTGCAGTCCGATGTGTCTACAAAGGCAAGAGCTCCATTCATGCTGCGGACACGCACAGAAAAGACAATATTTACACACACACACACACACACACACAATGACATTTATAAGAAGTTCAAATATATGATACTGTGAGCCTCAGATCAGAGTTAGAATCAGGAGCGTTTGCTCTCATAAGAGGTGTCAGAAAAGTTGTTTAGTTTGTCATCAGTGGCTTGTGTCTGTCACTCACACAAATACAATCACACACACAGAGCTTTAACTGACCTCCTGAGTCCAGCCAGAACCAAAAACTGTCCCTGGGGGCTCCAGAAGATGCTGTTGGCCTGCTGCTTATCAAACATCTCTGTAGAAAAAAATGTGTCACATTCAGTGGAGGTTTACAGGGCGTCCTAGACAGTAGGGCAGTTAGTGCATCCGTCCAATTTACTCACTTATGAGCTCAATCTTGCCATTGTTTTTGACATGATAGAAGGAGACGTTGATTCTGGGAGCCTCTCCATGGAGAACAGCAAACTTGCTACCGTTAGGCTCCCATGCAAATGCTATGATGCCTTCTGTGAAAACAGAAACAACAAAAAAAGGATCAGGATTTTCTTCCCCTATGGGAAACAATCACAGTTACCTTTGTGTGTTTATTACGATCTTACCTTTCATCTCCACCACATCAACAGGAACCTGCTTCTCTCTCATGCGGAAGATTTCAAAGTTGGTGACCACACCCTGAGAAGGATTCAGAAATAAATTTAGCATGTTTTTTTTGTTTGTTTGTTTGTTTGTTTTTTTACCAGTGAGGGCTCAGCTGCTTCACCCTCTGTCTCTCCACATGTGTACCTGTGTTCCTTTAGGAGTCCTGTCCACTTTCACGCACAGGTAATCTCCATTTCTCTGCCAGTGCAGTTTGCAGTCTACAACATTGAAGAGGTTGCGGACACGGATCTCATGACGAGAAGGCATCTGCATCAGAGTTACCCTGGCTGGAATATCTTTGTCCTCGGGTACCCAGAATGCTATGATGTTGTCACCAGGAGACCATGAGAAGTCCCTGTAGATACAGATTGTCAATATATCTACACAATTTAAACCATGTGATTATAAGAAACATATCATAAAAGTATTATCAAGGACTCTTACTTGATACCGGTGATCTTGAGACTCTTCTTGTCAAGCAAGCCCATAGACTGAAACCAGAAACATGTCTTTAATGTCACTTGCACACTTTAAGTACAATTAAATGGGGTAAGTCCACTTACTGGAGTCTCATAGATGCTCAGCGTGTCTGTCGTCATCCTGGCAAAGAACTTCCCATCGTGGCTCCATCTGAGAAAGAACAAATATGTTCCATTATAATATATTCAGTCACAGGAGGAGCAACAAATGAAAACAACATGAAAGTATATGAGATTTTGACGGCGAGAGAGAGAGGGGGGAGGAGAAAAAAAAAAAAGACAAACAAGCATAGAGCACTGACTTGAATATGGGCCAGTGTGCAGAGCTCTCGCAGTGGAAACCTCTCTTCTTATGTCCAGTCAGAATGTCCCAGATGATGATGGCCTGTGGGTCCTCTTTGGTGTCCATCAGTGGACTAAAGGTCACCACATATCTGGAAGGCATCACAACCGCACATGGAGCTTCAGACAGCTCAGAAACTGCACCGTTCAACCAACATTATCCATCATCAATATTAATTCATTAATATCCATTTAAGCTCATTAGTTTCAATAAACTTTTGAACCAGGATCTTCAGTATTGGATCAAGTAGCTTGTGAAAAATAAGGTGTGACAGGTGTGCACATTTGAGTGCGTCAGAGAGATATTTAATCAACATTTAGGTAACTAAAAGTATCGCACTCTGTATCGGCAGATACCCATTGTGGGCCCAAAACACTTGATCGGGACATCCCTAGTTTATTGTAAGTCTTTTAAAAAATTTTATTTTCTTTCTAGAATTTTGCAAACTGATGCAGCTGCATGCGGATTTCGCACTCGTTAAAACACATCTATACATGTAAATGACTAATGCTATGAAAGGGTCAATTAGTACTGCTACACAGAAACGCTGATTACCTCTCGCATGGTGAGAAGTCGATGAGGGACACACCCTGATGGCTGAACCTCTGAATCTGCTTGAACTTCTCGCCGCCCCACAATGCAATGCCACGTTGGTGGAAGGTAGCGAGGTATGTGCCTTTAGGAGACCAGCGCACGTACGTCTCTGTCCAGCGCTGTATCATGACACAAAAACCTTATTAGTCTGAATCCCACTACTGTTGAATTACATTTAATACGACCGTATTAGCACCGTATTATTTCTACTTACTGCTCTCTCTTCAGATATGATTGGTTCCTTAGCATCATTATTGAAAATGGCAGTCCTCTCTCCAGCTTCGTAGATCACACTGTACTGGTCACGACAGTCTGAGTCCTCAATCCAATGGCGCATATTTCCCTGAAGAGACGGACATACAGAGTCAGTGGATCAAACTGCACTTGGCACATTGTTCTGTTGATATTTGCTGGCCATTGTATAAGGTTACATAAGCGCAAAACCACTAATTTTTGCTAAATTGAAAGAGTACAAAAAAACCCAAGTAATTAATACTTAATAATCTAATGATTAATAGTAAAAAGTTGTATTTGTTGTTAAAAAATACACTCACAAAATCTTTGAAAGGCTGCTTCTCAGGTGTTTCCCACTCATCACTGATGTTCATGTACCTGGGAAAACAAACAAACAGAATTAACATAAGTCACTTGTCTCACATTTATCTCACAGCTGCTGCATTTCTTAATCAGACACGGCACACTTACTTGTCAAAGTCAGTGAAAAGGTTGACCCTGAATGTGTGTTGTTTGTCGAGTTTGTATCCATCTGCGTTCTTTACTGCCTCCAGGGCCTGGGTAGGAGCAGCATACTCCAAGAAGATGTACCTGTGTGAGATATGGGTCGTTTTTAAAAAACATTAAATTAAACATTAAAGCAATATACTGCCACAACTGAGTAGAGGGCAAAACGCATACCCTTTGGTCAAGCCATCGGCGTCTGGATAGAACTCAGTGGTGATCTTGCCAAACTTGGAGAAAATCTTGTGTATGACGTTCTTTAGTTTCTCCAAACGCTCTGGGCCCACCTGAGGAACGTTGTCCACCACCACCACCGAGTCTATGCCGTCAGCCTCCTGGGGCTTCTCCCTCAGGAGGTCACCGAGCAGCTCTGAAGAGAAAGAGGGGTGGGAAGATCATAGAGGGAAACAGTAACATTATCTTATCTATCTATTGCCATAGTAAAAGGTGGTACACTGTGACTATAGTAATTAATAACCTGAACTATCAAACTTTTAAAAAGTACACTAATTACTCTTTGTTAAAAACCTATTGTTAGAGACGTGTTGATCAAACTTTACATTATTTTGGAGGCCGTAGTTTGTGGTGCCATATAATTGTATTACTCTGTACTGAGAGATGTTTCTACTGTTTAGTCTACCCTCATGGATATAAATGGGGTGGACAAAATAATTAAAACTGCCTTGAGTGAGGCAATGCAGTGCAGCCACAGACTACAGCCTCCAAACTAATCATACAGTTGAATCCACACCTCTGAAACAGTGTAAAAATAAAAACTTTATACACTTCACGTAGGGAGATCTGACTGCATGCTAGTTGTACTAGAATTCATTCATTTCAGCTAACGGCAGTTTGCTGAGGACCTTCCAGAAAAGCCCTAGAGTCTGTCTTGCAGAGCAATGCTATAAAACAGCTTCAAAGCGTCCTCATAAGCTGGAGTTTCAGTTTCAATGTTTTGTTATAATTGCAGGGACATTATGGATCAAACTCCCCTCAACAACGGGTTAGGGTTAACGTGACACTGATGTGAAAGCTAACTTTAATATTAGCAGCTGCTTCATGCAAACCATACTGCAGCTTCGCAGTAGTGGCCCTCGCCTTCATTATTCATTCAGACAGCTAACTTTAACAAAAACGTTAGTCATTTTTCAGCTTCGGCCCTGTTTCAATACTCCGGATGACAGTGACAAGGCCACAGTGAGTGGTTGTCTGGGGACTGGGTGAGGCTTCAATGGGCGGGAAATTAAACTGTCATAACGTGGGTTTATGTTCGATAATTTGGTGGTTAGAGTTATGGTTAAGGAAAATGCTGATGTATCTGTTTAAATCCTGGTAATCAGACCTCAAGATTTAGTCACTGAGGTCCGGAAGGCTAAGTCGCAAACTAGCTATCAGCTAGCTAGCTTTGTAGCATTCATAATATCACAGCACAGCTCTTAGCGAACAGTTAGCAACAGGCCAAAAAGCCGGGTGTTTTCCTGCTGCCCCTCACCCTCATCATCGACGTCATCCTCGAAGTCCTCCGGGTCGCTGAAGGAGGGCTCCTCCTCTTCATAATCGGGGTCGTCCACCATATCCACCGTATCTTGCATTTATCAGGAGAACGAGACGGATTTCTCAACCCAAATGAGTAAAATCCCCAAGATTAAAGAGGCTGACGGTCCTCGGCCGGTGCGGTACCATGTGCGAGTACGCGAAAATGGACGATGAGACGGAAACGCAACACCGGAACTTGTTCGAACGCAATACGGCCATGAACCCGCTGCGGGGGGAAATTAAAGTTGCAAAACAGAAGGATCGGCAGTATGTGAGGCCTGCTAATGTCATTTAACCTATCCATACGTTTAAGGAGCAGTAAGCAGCGCAGATGTCCTTGTTACGATGCTCAAACGTTACATAGAAGTAAAGAGGAAAGTCACGCACCGGTAGATCCGAAACTATTTCCCGCGAGAAAAACTACATGCTGTTATTTTAGCTAGCAGTGGCATTTATCTCAATACTACATAACTTAGCTTCTAGCTATGATTCCAGATACGCGAGTCGGCGTTAGTTATGTGTGCTTAGATGTAACTGTTTAGCTGTGAAGTCATTTGTGACCTGTCTACTGTTATGTATCCTGAAGTCACATATACACGTTAGTACCATGGACAGAGAGTGTGTATCGCTGCTGCCCAGTGTGTGTGAGGTGTTGGCTGACTCGGGGAGGTCTCTGCCCGATGACACCAGCCTGGAGAAACTGTTGGACTGGTTCACAGGGATCACCAAGGCTGGTTAGTACTGAACTTGGTGGGATTTAATCTGGTTTGTTTATCTGTCACGTAAAGTAGAGCTTTACACCCAGGTAACTGGGTGGCTGGATTACAAACTGGGCAAAGGCTCAAGGTTCACGGTGTGGCATTTAATTTGTGGTATTCTGGTTACTTCCCCCTGTGTTTGGGAATGTGCACCATGTAAACTTAAATAAGGATTATTTTATTGAATCATCGATTCATTGTTTTGTCTATAAAATATCACAAAATAATTCCCAGAGCCCAAAGTGACACATTCAAGTTGCTTGCCAATAGACCAATGGTTTGAGGCATTGTGTAGGGGAGGGGCCCTGTGTCTTTTGATACCTTTTAATGATTTGTCTTCATATAACACTTACATGGTGAATGTTCCTAAATAAATGTATGTTTAAAAATTAAGCTGTCATGTGTACTAACGGGAGTTAAATGGGGTAAGAGCAAGCTCATGCCAATTTGGGTTATCAATCATAAATGGCTTAATCAGCTCCCCCTTAACATAAAAAGAGAGGTTTCCATACCTAGGGATAGTTATTACCAAAAATTATAAGTAGATAGATAGATAAACACCAGAATAACATTCAGTTTTGGAAGAGGCTCCCAATTTCTTTATTAGGTAGAACAAATGCTATTATGCTATTAAGATGCTGTTACATCTTTGTACATCTAAGACGAACAAGAGTTTGTAAAATTCAGATGGTGCTTTTCTTACATGGAGGAAAATGGGAATATCTACTATTGGCGAAATGTACCTGGCAGAGGCGTTTGCATCCTTCCAACAGCTCCAAGAAAAATATGGTCCCACAACGGGACTTCTTAAAATACCTTCAGGTTAGGAGTTATGTGAGGAACATATCTTCCTGACTTTGAGAGTGCAAGGCTGGACTGATTGGATGGCTGTCTAAAACATCCCGCTGGATCTAAAAATATACTTTCTTGTCTGCAATGCGCTTTACAGCATTGGTTGTACGGTTATCAGAAGATGTCTGAGACAAGAACCTGAAATATATACATATGTGGTCAATTAATACACGACACTGTTAAATACAATATTTAATCTCCCTTGAGGGTTTTTCCAGCTGTGGATTGCTAGATTAATGTTATGGCAGTACCACTGTCTAATGTTCAACTTTTCTCCTGATGAAGAGGGATCTCTGCTGAAGGCCTGTCCATGTCTGCTTGAATTCATATCCACTGTGGGTCACAGCACCGCTTTAGACCCCAGTGTCCTATCCTTCGCTCTCAAACTCACTGGCTTACTGGCTGCCACCGAGGACGGCTTCATAAAGCTTCAGGTAGCGTTAATGACACCTTGTACTTTTGTACTAAAAAGCTGTTCCAAACTGTTCCTGATTTTGGTGATGTCCCCCCTGTAGGAATGCTCTCTTCTGGAGCAGGTCTTTAACCTTCAGCACTGGCAAGACGCAGGACTCTGGGAGGATCCCTGTTTACGTATTGGCTGGATCCACGGCTTAAAGAACTTGCTGCAGTGCCCTAAGGCTCTCAGTTTTTTTGTACAATCAGGTGACGCTTCATGTGGGAAACAAGACCATCTCTCCTAATATGTTGTATATTATAAAAAAACAACTTGATGAGTGGAAGGCAGGTGATAGTTAGGAACAAAAACTAAGATTTTACCACTTCATAACTGAAATCTGTTTTCCTCACTCCCCAGATTTCATTGAACCGCTCCTACAACTCCAGACAGACTCAAGTCTATTCGTTGCCTCGGCTGCCAATCAGATGCTCGCCCACATCCTGCTCTTCTTTCAGCCAGTCTCATCTGCAGGATATAACGCCATAGATGAGAAAGAAGAAGAAGAAGACGGTAGGACACGTACCGCCATCACAGACTTGGGAACCAGCACACAGTACACTGCTGTTGTTGAGACGATCACAGAGTACCTCAAGGAGTCGCTAGTTCCCAAAGGAAACAGACAGCTACATCAGAGTCTGCAGATCCTCAAACTGTTGGCCCTGCTCCTGGCCCAGGCCAGGCCTCCTCTCCGGGACAAGCTGCTTCAGACAGTCACAGATTCTCTGGAGGAGCTGGTGACAGCAGGCTGCAGTGTACTCACACTGCCTCTGATGGACGTCATTCTGGCTGCATACAGGTAGATCGGCTCTCTCTTAGGAAAACAAACGGTTTACAGACAGGATCAGAATCAGAATCAGCTTTATTGCTAAGTAGGTTTACACATACAAGGAATTTGCTTTGGTGTTTTGAGTATGCTGTACGTTGGCGCTGTGATAATAGCATAGAGCTGAAACGATTATGCAATGAATCAATTAGTGTTAAAGTAATGTCCATGTCTGTCTTCAGCAGCTCCGGCACTGATGAACGTGTCCCAGACCAACGCGTCAGCCGTCTTCTGTCATCCATGTTGAACATTAACAAACCTGCTGACCTCATTCATGCTGCAGCTGCTTTTCTTCGCAGAAGTCGGCACCAGTAAGCATGTGTTAGCAGCACGGGTTCACACTCTTATACAGATTGTGGTTTCACCGTCAGCAGTTCAAGCTCAGTTTGTAGAAGTTATATATTCTCACATTTTAAGAAAGCCAGTATTTCCAGGTCTCATCGGTGCTGTTTCCTTTTTTCCCCTGTGTTTTGGTCCAGTGATGCTGTCCACACAGCCCGGACTGTGAGAATATTGCTGCTACCCCTTGACATTATAACTGGTCAGACTCTACTGGGCACAAACACCACTGGTAAAACACACACACATATACACACATAAAAAGAAAACAGTCCGTTATTTAGGATCTTTATAACTACATATATTTCCGTTCCTGCAGCAGGCGAGGATTGGTTTTCAATGATAGAGCAGCTGAAGAGTAAATCCTCCTGCGTCTCTGTGATCTGCGTCTGTCTGACCAACACACCACAGATCGCACTCAAGGTGAGGCGATAAGGACAACAGAAAACAGAGGAAAGGAAATGGACTGTATTTTTGTGTGAAGCAGACTAACATGAGTGTCTCTCTTTCTCTCTCTCCATCAGCCTTCTGGTGTCCTCCCCTGTTCTTCAGCTTTAATTATCACTGCAGTTCTGTCACTGTTAAGGATCTGCAGTGGCGTCTCTTCCTCCTCATCCACTGGTTGTAGTGAGGTCTGCAGGAATGTAATCGGCAGTGGCAAAGTTCAGAAATGTGCTCTAGAGGCTCTGACAGCTCTCAGCAGCAGCCCAGGTAAAACAGTGTATGTGTGGGATGATTGAAACAGCGAACAAGATTTTCTTTTCTTTCTTAACTTATTTTACTTCAGCTTGATAGGAAACGTTATTGGAAAGACAGCCACAGTGCCAACAGAATTAAATGGAGCTTCGCAATATAACAGTAAAATAGTACAGAATATCGTAAGTCATTTTCTCTGTACAGAGAGGCCAAGTCAAATCAAACTATATACTATGTACTGACACAAAAACAAATGCTACAGTGTATTAACATGATATGTTTTGTTCAGTGTGAGAAGGTGTTTTTTGAGGATGAAAAATTTAGCATGTATCCTTCAACATGTGTGTTTCAGGAGCAAAGGAGAAGATCAGTGAAGTGTTCACAGTTCTGACACAATATCTGAACAGTCCTGATTCTGACCCAACTGTAAGTTGTTCCTGTCTATGCACACTTTGATACAACTTTCGTTGTTTGTTTTTTGTCACTGACTTTCTAGGTAGTGAAAAGTTAGTGGGGGGGGGGCAGTGACTTAGAAGAAGACACTGATTTTCTCATCCTACATGTTTTAAAGAGATTCATAAATTCATAATTAAATATAAAACTTTATATTAAACATAATAAAGTTATAATATTACAAGAAAAATTTATATTTCAGTTAATTAAGTCTTTATTGTTATTTTAGAGCATTTCAAAAACTTCTACTCCACATAATGTGATTAGAAGTTTCTTTTTTATACCACTTCCACGCATTATCTCATGTATAGAGGCAAAGTATTTTGGAGTTGAGCAGTAGTATGACAAAATAATCTTAACTAAAGGTCCACTTACTACAGTAGCTTTTCCTGTAGCTTTCATTTCATAGACATAAACGACTAATCGAGGACATAAATCAGCTGAAGTCACATCGAGGTGAAGTGACAGGGTTGCAGACTTTACTTAGATCTTTAAAATATTTATCTCAAGATATATTCTAACAGTGAAATGTTTCCCATATTTCTTAGGTACTGCACAAGTCTTACCAGGCCTTAGTAAAATGGATAAGTATGTGCACAGACCTCTCCTTTATGACAGACCAGCTCAGACAAGGTAACGTTCACCAGCAGTCTCTTTGTTAAAGCTCATAAAAACTCTCCTGCCTGATGAATCAAATGAATGAGTGTGGCATGCGATATGTGTATCCCTATTAGATCTTGTCGAGGTAGTGGAGAAACGTGTGTGTGACATGCGTTGGGAGGTGAGAGACTCGACGGTGGAGTTTCTGGGTCACCTGGCAGGCGTGCGTGTCTTGCTGAAGTCAGCCGACGAGGAGGTGTGTGACGCGTCTGAGGCTCTGCTGGGCGGCAGCTGTACAACTCCTCTCCTGAAGGAGGCACTGCAGGACACAGAGAGTTATGTGAGAGCCAGCGCCGTCTCTGCACTGGCAAAGACACTGGCACACAGCTGGCAGCAGGGGGCAGCACTCGCTCTGGAGGAGGTAGGCAGAAATTGTTTTACATTTTGGCACAAGACTACAGGTAAGAAGTTGCTGTGGTGAAGGATACTGTATCAGATTTTGGTCCTTCTATCAATAGTGTAAAAATAAAAACAAGGAGGTACAATGTTTTCAGATGGCTGCAGTATAACTGTAAACTTGGCTTTAATTTACTTCTGTGTCCTTCCAGACTGAAATAGTGAGCCGGCTCCTTGAAATCCTGTCCCAGGACACAGAGGGATTCGCCAGGAGGGCTGTCGTACGATACTTCATCTCCTGGTTTTCTTCACACTCCTCACACTCTCCCCCATCGTCATCCTCTCTCCTGATGCAGTGCGTACGCTCCGCCCTTTCACATGGCAGTGCAGATCTGGACTGGGAGGTCAAAGTTCACACGCTGGAGCTGGCTGAGCTGCTGCTGGATGAAGCCTTTTTAGGTCAACGTGGTTACAGGAAGGGCTCAGACGCACGTCGTGCTTTACCGCATCCCTATGCTGTAGTTTCTGACCAGGCCTACACGCTTCACACACACTCCGGTGCACTCACAGAGGGTGGGGAGTCTGATTTGGCCGGAGCATTGAACAGTCTGGTCGAGCAGGGAGCCATCTCAGCGTTGTTGAGTGGTCTGGTTGACTGCGATAGGCCTGTAGGTCTGAAGGCCTGTCGACTGCTGATAACACTCAGAGAGACAGTCTGCCCTCTTTCAATAGGGGCATCAGTTGCCAGGGTGTCCTGTGAACTGCCTGGCCAGGGCTGGGGACAGGAGATCAGAAAGGTACTGGGGACGAAGAAGAGTGATCAGGCCAGTGAGGCGGACATCGCAGCACAGAGAAGGCTCAATGGAGCAGACGAGATTCATTCTGAGGACTGTGGCGAGACTGGAGAGGAGGGTGATAGTGCGATTGTTAGTGTGTGTGAGGTGTTGAGGTCTCTGGATTTAGAAGAGATGCTCGATGTCCTGACTCAAAGCAGCGACCACATCCACAACTCTCCCCTCTCTCTACTGCAGGACATTCTGACTGCAAGTGCTGCTCATGCTAATCCAGACACACAAACAGGGCAAGAGGTCATAGTTGACTGCTACTGACACACAAACACACACAGACTTTATGTTTGCTTGCTATCAGAGATGAACAGCACACTCTTAACTCAGGTTACATTTGCCTCTGTGTTCTGATATTTTTGTGACTTGAGTAAAAGATCATTTGTCCTGATTTTACTGATTTATACATGTCTGTTGTTTCTATAGTGGAACACAGCTCTGTGTGCATTTGTGAACATGTGAAGGTATCTTGGAAATGTCTTTATAACCTGACGATACCACATTTGAGATTTTTTTCTACAATTCATTACGTTAGCTCGCCAGGATGATTCAACTGTTGCCTTTTCTGTGGATCCGCACACTGTCACACTTTGTCTACAGTGGCTGTGAAATGGATGACTAAAAAACGTAGTTGAAACATGTCCTGTAAGAACGAAAGAGAAAAATACCTTACTACCTTTTATATTTGAAAATAATCTAACAGATACTTTGTTGGGACCTTTTTTCAGGTTTCGGTCAGGTAGCAGAACTCTTTCTCTAAACTCTTTCTTATATTACCAAGTTTTATGTGACACATTAACAGTTTTTGTAAAACATCATCATCATACTCTTTATCTGCTTTTTTTTATTGTATTGTTGTAAATAAATATACAGGTAAATCAAAAAAGTTTCTTTGGTCCAACAGCTTCGTACTTACTGATAAGCAACCACCTCTCCTACTGCTTCCTCTAAACCTGTGCTGTTGTGTTGATTATTCTGACAACGTATTTTGAATCAAGATACTGTAAGATAAGCCTTTACTGATTCCCCAGAGAGGAAATTCAGTTGTTGTGGCACTACAGAAATATTATGAATTTCCCCCCGGGGAAGGATTTCTGATTTCTACTACTGATATAAAATACTTTGTATATAGTATACAGAAACATTTCATGAGCAATGAATACACAAGTAGGTAGAAAGTCAGTTAGGTCAGCCAATCATTTAATTTGGAGCAAATTAAATGATTGGCTGTGCTTATTAGTCCTACTAGAGCCACAGATACCAAATTGTTTTTATTTTTGTGTCAGAGAATTTGATTTAGTGATTGCTCTCTGATGTAAAGAGAATTTCAAAAAATATAACAAAGAATGCTTCTGAAATAAATTGCCTACCCCAGCTTGAATATAGAAATGGAAGTATACATACAGAGTATAATGTAATACAGCACTATTAAAATAATATAAGATTGGTTATAAAATATAATATAAGGTTAAATGTAGTAATATAGTATAACAGAACAGAAAATATTCACCTGTACTAGATTTGTTTGGGATACCTTTTCCATTTAGTTGCTCTTGGGAACAATTGCATTACACATAAATACACCAGGTGACACCTTTTCTCTTGTAAGTGTAGCCTCTGGTAAGCAGGTTTTTACCCTTGGTTTCATGGCTATTATTTAAACCTTTTCAAATATGATTTTTTTTATGCTAGTGATATATATATATAATATATGGTCCTGGCCATCAAACTCTTCCTGGTTATTTTAATTCCTTCCATCCACTGTCACTGATTTCCCTTGTGGAAATGCTTCATTAAAGCCCCGGAGTTTAAAGTGTGTGGACATCACAGATGGAGATGTAGAGGGCAGTCGCCATCTCCACGTGTTCACACACTCACTAACTCAGTCACATGGAGGAACAGAGGGACACACGCGCAGAGAAAACTCTCCTCATTAACTAATGAGCAGGATGTCAGCGACTGCCTACACACACACACACACACACACACACACACACACACAGATTATCTCATCCTGTAAAAGAGAAGCAAGAAGCATCACCCTGTGGTGCTCTAATCACACAGCTGTATTCTCTTTCTTCATTCATGAAGTGAAAGTATTTTTGTAGCTGACTTGACTCTTCTGTTCAGCATGGAGGCAGTGGCTCTTTTCTCTTTCACAGCATCAGAACCAGACGAGATCAGTTTTCAGAAAGGGGACATTATAAAGGTAAGTGTGCATGTGTAAATGTTTGGCTTGATTTGAAATTCTAATTGGCCAAAGTAAAAAAAGAAAGACTGCATGCTTACATAGTGGGAATAACTGTGCATGTGTGTTATAGGTGACAGAAATGGAGGATGATTCTTGCTGGTTCACAGCAGAGATCCAGGGGAAGCGTGGCTTCGTGCCAGAGAACTACATTTCCCTCCATCCTTACCCGTAAAAAAAATTGATTTGTCCACATATTTCATGCTTGTGATCAATTATACAAAAACATTTAGGATAGAAAACTGCAATTCATTAATATTACAGCTGTGGATTGTTTTGACTATGATCATGGACAGCAGTTGTTCCCAAACTCTCCCAAGTCACTGATATACATAACTGAGTTGATTTTCATTCAAAGGGTACTCATGCTTATGCCACTTTAAATAGTAACATGAATGTACCAAAATATACATTCTTGTGCGTGTGTGTGTGTTTGTAGGTGGTTTGCCGGACGGGTGTCAAGACTTGATGCTGAAAAGCGTCTGCGCTGGCAGGACACTGGAGTGTTCCTGGTGAGGGAGAGTGAATCAGCTCCTGGAGAGTTTTCTGTCTCTGTTAGGTCAGTAAACGCACCACACACACACACAAACACAAGAGGTAAGTCTAATAAATCTGCTGCTGCAGACTGATGTAACGTTCCCGTCACCTGTTCCCATATTGTGATGTTTAAAAGTAAAAAAATGTGTGTTTGTTGTGGTGCAGCAGTTATATTTGCATGCATTTAATCTGCTCACAACCCTCACAGCAGCTGCTCTGTGTCTTTTGTGCATCTGCTACTGGTTCTGCTCTTAAAAAAGGAAAACACAGTGAAAGACCTTGAGTATACTTTACAACCAGAAGCATTACATGACACAGGCAGCAGCATCTCCTTGTTATATATTGTGCTGTAGTTGGATGGTTTCCATCACATTGAAAATATTTAGCAAGTTACAGCATCCATGTGTCTTTGAGTGTGCATCAGTGGAGAGTAGCGTCAGACTATTTAAATATGTTCTACAAGAACCCTTTGCACTAAAAATATCACAGCTGCACAGATAGTGAGAGAGAGAGAGAGTGTGTGAGTGTGTGTGTGTGTGTGTGTGTGTGTGTGTGTGTGTGTATAATTGGGTCACCAAAATGACGCGGGACACATTTAATCATTGAGGGTAAATTAAATGTGTTCAATAATTGGGGCATTACATAATACGGCACACGGCTCAGTCTTTAATTAAACACAGATACATTATGCAATGGACACATGCCACTAAGATGCATGTACATAATGTGCATATATTTATGTTATAAAGAACAACATTATACACACAACATCTGTCTGCCTGCAAGGACTGAGAGCTAAGTGCTTTGTTTGTGCTTGCACACACCAGACACATAACACAGTGTAATCCTCAGAATGATCAACAGAGGGAAATAATGTTCAAGAAGAGTTCATGAGAATCATATGATGTGTTTTATAGTTATAAACTTCAGTGACTCATTAAAGGAGATTCTTTCAATCCCCAACATGTCTGCAGTTCATCTAGATTACATCATGGCAAACACAACTATGTGTTTTGTGAGATCGAATACAGGTGAACTTCCTCTGAACTTTTATCACAGTGCTAAAACAAGGTTCTTGTGTCCCAATTCCATACTACATGCACCTCACAGAATACTTAAAACAGTCTGTGTGTGTACTAATAAACTGTGCTTTTGATGGACACTATTGTCCCACAGTACAATCCACAAAGCAAATGGAGGAGCTGCTTCCAGCTGGAAAAAATTAAGCAATTGTTAGTAGTGCTGAAACAGCAGGAACACCTTAGAAAGCTAAAAATAACTGTTACACTTCTTTGGAAAAACATTTTGCTGTCTCTTTGCAAACTTCTACTGCTATTAGTATGCCAAAGTCACAGTTTGGTTGATCTGTTGGTTTAACTATTGTGTAGTATTTGATTTCTTTTACTGTACTTACTTCAAAACAACAACAACTGTGCACTATAAACATTATTATCAGTATATTCTGTAGACGTTTAGTATGTAGTATGGAATTGGGATAAAGCAGTAGGCAGACAAACATTCAAATTCACACACTAGTGGGCATTTAGAGTCTGTCATTAACCTAACTGCATGTCTTTGGACTGTGGGGGGAAAGTGACTCAGAAACAGAGAGAACATGTAAACTCTGTACAGAAAGGAGATTGGATCAAACTCAGGACCTTCATGTTGAGGAAACCACTGTGCTGCCCAAACTAATTAACTAGAAAACTACAAAATCCCTACAACAAAACATAAAAAGGTTTTCATGGTGGAAAGTTATATTGTGTTCTTTTCTTTTGATAAGAAATAATAATATGATAAAAATATGTATAAAAATGGGTTTTATCAAGTGTATTACACCCCCAGAAATGTCTATATTAGGGTTGCAACTAACGGATTATTTTCATTGTGGGTGAATCGGCACATTATTTTCGATTAATTGTTTGATATAAAATAGAGCTGAAAAAATTAATCAATGAGTTGATTGACGGAAAATTTATCTGCAAAAATTCTGATAGTTGTTGATTGTTGTTGTCTAATAGTTTAAGTAATTTTTTCTAGCAAAAATGTCAAACTTTCAGCTTCTCAGTTGTGAAGACTTGTTGCTCATATCACTGTAAACTGACTGTCAAAAAGCACATACACTCACCTAATGGATTATTAGGAACACCTGTTCAATTTCTCATTAATGCAATTATCTAGTCAACCAATCACATGGCAGTTGCTTCAATGCATTTAGGGGTGTGGTCCTGGTCAAGACAATCTCCTGAACTCCAAACTGAATGTCAGAATGGGAAAGAAAGGTGATTTAAGCAATTTTGAGCGTGGCATGGTTGTTGGTGCCAGACGGGCCGGTCTGAGTATTTCACAATCTGCTCAGTTACTGGGATTTTCACACACAACCATTTCTAGGGTTTACAAAGAATGGTGTGAAAAGAGAAAAACATCCAGTATGCGGCAGTCCTGTGGGCGAAAATGCCTTGTTGATGCTAGAGGTCAGAGGAGAATGGGCCGACTGATTCAAGCTGATAGAAGAGCAACTTTGACTGAAATAACCACTCGTTACAACCGAGGTATGCAGCAAAGCATTTGTGAAGCCGCAACACGCACAACCTTGAGGCGGATGGGCTACAACAGCAGAAGACCCCACCGGGTACCACTCATCTCCACTACAAATAGGAAAAAGAGGCTACAATTTGCAAGAGCTCACCAAAATTGGACAGTTGAAGACTGGAAAAATGTTGCCTGGTCTGATGAGTCTCGATTTCTGTTGAGACATTCAGATGGTAGAGTCAGAATTTGGCGTAAACAGAATGAGAACATGGATCCATCATGCCTTGTTACCACTGTGCAGGCTGGTTGTGGTGGTGTAATGGGGTGGGGGATGTTTTCTTGGCACACTTTAGGCCCCTTAGTGCCAATTGGGCATCGTTTAAATGCCACAGCCTACCTGAGCATTGTTTCTGACCATGTCCATCCCTTTATGGCCACCATGTACCCATCCTCTGATGGCTACTTCCAGCAGGATAATGCACCATGTCACAAAGCTCGAATCATTTCAGATTGGTTTCTTGAACATGACTATGAGTTCACTGTACTAAAATGGCCCCCACAGTCACCAGATCTCAACCCAATAGAGCATCTTTGGGATGTGGTGGAACGGGAGCTTCGTGCCCTGGATGTGCATCCCACAAATCTCCATCAACTGCAAGATGCTATCCTATCAATATGGGCCAACATTTCTAAAGAATGCTTTCAGCACCTTGTTGAATCAATGCCACGTGGAATTAAGGCAGTTCTGAAGGCGAAAGGGGGTCAAACACAGTATTAGTATGGTGTCTACAATCCCTTGAATGCGGACATGTTTCAGCTGCGATTTCATGTTTGAGGAGATGTGACGTCAGGCAGCAAGCAATACAACTGATTGGCTGACTAGATTCCTGGATAGTATTCACACAGTATTAAAACAGTGTCAAAACAATTTGCAGACAAAGCATGGCGATCCACAAATACACTGTGATCCGCAAACAGAGATTTGAATTTATACACACATCTTGAAATAGTGGTTTAAAAATACAATTTGACTGTGTTGGCAAATTGTGAAGAATGCATTTGTAGAAATTGTAATTGGTAAAACTGTGAAACAGTAGTTTCAAAATTCTGTAAACTCATTCATTCATTCAAATTCTTGTTTTCAAGTACAAGTCACTGATTTCTATTTGTGGATTATGATGTGTTTGTGGATTTTGAATCTATTTGTAGATTATGTTTTGTATTTGCAAATTGTACTATATATTTGTGACCCAATTTGTGTATTTATAATGTTATTGGCATCAATTTACCCCCAGAGCTCTTCTGTCTAACTTCTTCTTTCATCAGCGCATCTATCTTCACTCAGTGGGTCACACAGCATCAGTTTGAGACAAACGACTTAATAACTACTACTGTGAGCTTTTCAGAACAGCTCAGAGCAGATTTCTGTGTGTGTGTTGACATTTGAGATGTTTCTAGCCTGTGAGAAAACCTGTGATGGATGTGGAGATACACCCACACATTGCACAGGATTATGGTCTCATTTTCCACACTGACAGAGGTGTAACAGAGGTATTCACATAGCCTCTGCATTAATTCCTAAACAAAGAAACAGGCAAAGGAATGAAGAACAACAAAAAAACTCTTATTTCATTTGTTGGAGCACAAAGGAGCACACATCCCCACTCTCTTATTTTGCAGCTATGGGGACAGAGTGGAACATTTCCGAGTGCTGGAGGGAGGCGGTCAGTACTACATCTGGGACGAGTCGTTTTGCTCCCTCAACCGGTTGGTGGATTTCTACAAAACTCACAGCATCGCCGTGGAGAAAGTGGTCTACCTCAGGGACCCTCCCTCATCCCCTAGCCTGCTGCCCCAACATGGACGTAACCCTTATCCCAACCCTTATAAAAGCAGCTCTCAGGAGTCCCTCCCCTCAGTCCGCCTCCACTCTAACCCCTCTCGCCCAGAAAGAGAGTCCTCCCTGCATCTACCTGAACCAGTTTTGTGGGTATGACAAATCATGAAGCACCATAAACAGCTTGTACTTCTGTTTAACACACCTGTTTGTCTGATGACATGGCTTTGCTTTCTGCCTTTGAGTAGAAACCTCGTCTGGCCCAGGCCCTCTGTGACTACGCCCCCCCTCAGACCGCCCACCTCCACTTCCTGCGTGGTGACCTCATCGACCTGCTGGACTGCTCGAGCTCACTGACCTGGAGAGGGCGCTGTCGAGGCAGAGTTGGAATCTTTCCGCCAGAATACGTCCAACCGCTGTACCGCTGACACCATATCAAACTTAACACCTCCCGGACCTTGGCTTTACCACTGACGCTTGTCTGTCAGGCTGTAGTGACTTTACCTTACTTATCCAAAACTAGCGATGAAACAATTAGTCCAATAATTGGTTAGTCCATTATTGATTGAAGGGCCTGAAAACTACAAGCTTTGGGGCCATATGTGAAAACTGTGTTTTCTGCCAAAGTTAGTACAGGTTTCGTTGCTTCACATGAGAGATTTCTACATTTGTGTTTTTCTCTGTGCTTCTCTCACTGGTTCAAAGCAGGCAGGGAATCAGTCTGGAAAAAGTGATGTCACATACCTGCACCAATCAGGATTTAGTAACATTCAAATCTGCATCTGATGACAGTTATTGGGTTGTTTGGTCACTGTCAGTCAAATCTCCTGTTTGATTTTTGAGGGTTAAACTCTAAATAATACCTGAAGTTTGTTTTTTTTAAACTTTCAATCTTGCATAAGTAGTCATTAATAATTAATGTAACTACAACAGCTTTAGGTTAGTGTGTTTGAAGGTATTTTGTGTCTCCACATACCTGAATCTTCAATTTGCAGAGTTGCATGGTGGATAATGTAAGAGCCAGGACAAGGAAGAAGAATACATGGAATAACAACATCTCCGGTTCTGGAGGAATGATTTTGATTTTGACTGTCAGACAGTGTTAAAGGAGGACAATGCTAAATTGGTGCAGTACGCTTTTAAGTTTTCTGAGACTTTAATAATTTAAGTCTGTTCAAGTATCAAGCAAAAATGCCAAATATTGGCTGGTTCCCGCTGCTCAAATTTAAGGATTTTTTGTTTTTCTCTTTCTTATATCATTATTTTGAACTGTTTCATATTTTCTGACATTTCACAGAGTACTCAGTACATTAAAAGTAACCTGATAGATTAACCGATAATGAAAATCTTGCTACAGCCCAAAATTGAACCTTTGCAGCCCGTCTTCTGAGCCCTAATGTCCTCCTTCCACCAACAGTTTGTATTGAAATTATTTAAGGTAAATTTAACTTTATATTCGTTCTGTTTTACCATCTTGTCTGTGCCCCTTCCTCTTCAGTAAATATCACTAAACTGTATGGGAACAAAATAAAGAGTGATATGATGTGATAGTTATAAATACTCTAACCTGTGTTAATTTGTGGACAAACACTTATGACTTTGATGCACATATCTTTAAATTTATTTGAGATATCACAAGAAAAAAAACATTTGATGGAGAAGCTGTCAAGGTATTTAGTATTTTGACTGACATCAGACACATTCAGGTACTTCTCAATACTTCTGCATAAATCTCACCAATAAAAAAAAATGTATCAAATGCACAGGAACATTATATTTTAACAGAGTTTCTCAACCTTGGGGTTGATGCCCTTTGTGGGGATCTGTTGTTAAGCATTAAGGGATCAGTGGTCAATTTCAATACTGATAAATTGTCTGATATATTTGTGATAATTAAAAAGAAATATAAAAGTTTTCATTATTTCTATATAATTTTGATGCATTTTGAGCTCCATTTGCATTCCTGATACAAAACACAAATGTGTGCCATATTTAAATTTACAAGACAATTTATGTCATGAGAATTTGGGTCAGTCATGGTCCAATCATGGACCAGGAAAAACTAAGAGATTCTGATTTATATTAATAAATGAGCTACACAGCAGGAAAGAACACTAGAACAATAACTGAAGGCTCAATAAACCTTGATTGACAGACATAAGGCCATAAACATTACTATATATATAGTTACCATTAAGCATATAGACTCTAAAGGAAATGGGATTATGCAAGTGCATACAACCTAAACCACATAAAAGTATTCTCACTATATAATCTATAATCTTTTATTACCTGCACATTCATGTTAGCTTGTTACAAGCCACAAGCTTCATTATAATTTGTATAATACCCATCTAAAACTTTAAAACAAGGTTACAACAAGAAGAAAATGTTTTATGAACAAACCAATAGCCTACAGTGGGGCAATAGTAAACCAATAACATCAAAGCACATCTGTAGAAATACTGTATGCCTATACTGCATTTGTGGAGGTATTGGCTCTCTCTTTGAAATGTGATTGTTTTACAGCACCTGAAGCTACATCTGCATGATACAGTACATTTGCATGATTTTGAAGGATTCATGTAAAATCAGTATAAAAATCACAGTTTGTTACCCCACCTTCTTGGATCAGGAGAAATCAGTGGCTGTTTGGCAGGCAGGCAGAGTTTCTAGTTCATATTGGAGCAATTGGCAGGTGTTCAGCAGGAGGGTGAGGCAGGATGTTAAATCGTATCCTCTACTCAGGCAAAGTATGCATAGAGAAAAATGTTAACGCAGACCAGCAGAATCGCATTGACACAGCAGAACCTGGACCAGAACGGACTCTCTCTGAGAGTGGGAACTCGGGGAGCTGGAGCCTGCTGTGAGCGTCGTGTTGCTGAGATACACAATCCTGTCCTCTGACCACATGTCCCCTGCTGTGTTGGCTCAGAGCCTGCACCATCACATACAAAACAGACACAGGAAGTTACTCAAACAGTAACTACAGCAGCATCTGTGTGCAGATGACTGTTTATCACATCATCGCTGGTTTTATTCAAAGTGGCGTTAATATTCAGACTCTTACCCTGGGAGCTACGGTGGCTGACAGAGGACACTTTCTGTAGAGGAATTTCTCTTGGTGGCTCTTCAGTCAGTGTCCACCAGGTCAGGTTACACACCTAGGAGAGGAGAAAATAGGAATGTAACTAAATTTTGTCTGTATGTCTGTACGGTAAATTTGAAGCTGGAGATATTAGCCTGTTAGCCTTAGCTTAGCACAAAGACTGGGAAAAGGGGAAGCAGCTAGTCTGGCAATTTTAGATGATTCAGAATTCACATACAGCACCTCCAAAGCTAAATACAATGTATAAATGAGATATAACATGTTAATCATTGAATTTCAGAGGTCCTGGTACGTGGACATTTGGACAGAGCCAGGCTACCTGCTTTAGTCTTTATGCTAAGCTAAGCTGCTGAGTACAATGTATTTAACATACAGACATGAGAGTATCAATCTCTTCTCCTAACTCTCAGCAAGACACCAAATAAGTGTATTTCCCAAAATTTTTAACATATGCATTAATGATAATAATAATAATAATAATAATCTTTATTTGTAGAGCACTTTTCAAAAACAAGTTACAAAGTGCTTTAACAAGTGTAAAGACAATTATACCCACGAGACAATAATACAAAAACAATACAAGCTAAAAGCATGAAAAACATTGAAAAGACTAAAATACACGTTTAAGATAAATATAAAATTAGTAAAATACAATAAAATAAAAGGGATAAAATAAAGTCAAATAAGATCGGGAAAGGCTCTTCTATAAAAGTATGTTTTAAGAAGGGACTTAAAAGAGTTCACTGACTCAGCCGACCTGATTTCCTTGGGCAGGCTGTTCCAGAGCCTCGGGGCCCTGACAGCAAACGTTCTGTCCCATTTAGTTTTCCCCTTTAGTTTTCATATACTGTATTTATTCATTTCCAGGGTGGAGGGGAAGTTTCTCACTCTTTTTGCAAGGCAGTAAGGTCAATCTGAAGTGTAAATTGTGTAATATTGTTCAGTTTTAGCTCTATGTATGATTCCATTTTAATTTAAATACTATTTAATCTTAGATAACATACAGCATGGATCATATTTTTATGCAACAGAATTCACCTAAATCACCTTTATGATACTGTAGATTTGCATTTTAATGGATATAAAGTACTGACGCACATTGTAATAAATTGTCTGTGTGTACTAGGGAGTTTACGGATGAATGTGGAGATTGGGTATTTGACAGTTTGGTGTCGGTATACATGGGAGGTTCAACAAATTTGCAAACACAATTATGACTAATACTTTTGAAAAGTTCATACACAGGCCAGAGTAATGTCGGATGGGACAAATGGGTCACCGGCTTCAATGAGACTTGAATTATGAAGCATTTAGTATGTCTTTCTATTGTGTGCAAGAATATTTTTACTGTACAGAAAGGTTTTGCTCTGTGGTTGATTGTTGATCTTGTGGATTTAGACAGGCATTGCTTCTTTGACTGTCTTGTAACCAACCTTCAGATAATACCTGTTCCTTTACTTTACAGGTGTATCAACAGCAAAACCCTTACATAAGCTTACTTCCCTAATGGTTTTGCTATTAACTGTATCTGTGTACACACCTGTTCGTGACTGGGCGGCGGTGTGAGCAGCGATACTATAGTAACCACGATAGCAGTGAGCCCACAGAGCAGAATGGCGAAATGGAGGTAGTGGACACTGCGCAGCACTGCAGGTGCTGAGTCCAAAACTCCACATCTGGCAGGCGGAAAGGCAAACTCCAGCACCATCCTACACACACCCACCACCAAACCCACCATGAGGCCCCAGAACGCACCCTAAATACACACAAACACACATATTAACATACAGGTTATTTGATATGCTGAACTTCCTGGTGCTTATAGTATAAGTAGAATTCCTGGCGCAGCCCTGGTTCACACTTCAGTGTGTTTGATTCTCACACACTTTTCACCATGATAATCTGTCATTGTCATGTCACTTCTCACTTATGTGCAGTGACATAAATAACGCTTTGTCTCCTTCTCCTTTCAACCTTCAGCAAAGAATGTGATCCGTGCAGTTTGACAATAATCACCTTGTCACAGCACACAAAGCAAACATCCACATCCCTACATCTACTTTATTTCTTATTTTACTTATTTTTCTATTTCTTTTTCTTGCTGATGTGAAAGTACTACATGTGAGAAAAAAAAACATTTAAGCTAACAGTTATTATTGTTGTTACGTTGCCAACTGTTGTGGAATGGCCTGTTTTTCTGGTTTTAGTTCATTTAAATCTTAAAACACTAAAACGTGAAAATCATCATAATACTAGATGTAATATGCTGGATACAGTGACACTAATTACAGAGGCAGTCAATGGTTTTATTAGTTACATTTGCAGCTCTGGTTCAAAGACTACACATGACATGTTCCCATATAAATAGGTCTCTACTGTTTGTTGTCTTTAGTGTCAGACTATAGTCGTGTCACACATCCTGTGCTGTAATGTTTTCCCTTTGACCCCATGAGTCAAGACTATTAAGATTCTTAAAGTGATGTTCTCACTTTGTTTATATGAACAAATAAAAGCTCACACGCATTGAACTTTCTCAATAACTTTCAATAAGTATAAAGTGAAATAGTAACATCCAAATAAAATTAATGGCTGTGACATTTTATAACAACTCCAGTTAGCATGGGTTTGGTCTTTTTTAAATATGAATGTTTTTAGATATCTGCATTACTTGTAAGCATCAATCACATTGACTATATTTTATTGTGTAGTAACTTATGCTGTTGAAACGAGGCTAAAGAGGCTACAGCCATCGTTGCAGCTCTCTCAGGCTGTTCTACGTCACAGCGGTGTTTTGATCAGCATGCTAACATGCTGACGTTTAGTAGGTGTAATGTTTACCACGCTCATCTTCTTATTTTTGTTTGTTAGCATGCTAATATTTGATAATCGGCACTATTCAAAGTACATTTGATGCTGTGATGTGTACATTTGATGTTTACTTGTATTTGGTAAAGTACTGGACAATTTTGACCTCACCTGACAAGTTTGAGTTTGACAAGAGACATCTTTTAACTTGCAATCACCATTTCGGTGTTTCCTAGACCTATTGTCGACCCATGTTGTAACCGTATGCCGGGTTCATTGTAAACACATTATATGTAAACAAAAATAGACTCTTTGTAGCTTCATTCAGAGTTAGAAAAAAGATAATATTTGCATTAAAAAAAGGGGGAAACCCTTTTATTCTGAAAAACCTCTTTATCTTAGTAGTTAAACATCATGTCAGCAGGGAGCAGACACACCCAGGACTTGCTCTATTAAAACAGGGATTGAATCTTGACAATCCAGTGGACTGGTACACGTGTGTGTACGGCAGTATTTTACCCTACTCTGTAATCTTAAGCTTTTAATAATCACGCTTTCTCACACTTGAACTGTTATCAGCCAGAAACAATCACTTTCACTTGTTCAAGTGAAAGAGCAACACGTTCTTGCTGTTTCCTACAGAGGAAATAATAAACAATACACTTCATAAAATGAGTAATGCATGCACACATGGACTCCACTCTGAGCAGTGAGGGATGTTGGCAGCTCCATTCCATGTGAGTTTAATAAAACTGTACATCCGTACAATGTATAAAAAAAGGACACTCCTGAATGTTCCGATGTGATGATCTTGCGTAAATTTTTAATAAAGTTTGGATATGTTTGCATCAAGACTTTTCTAATGTATGTTTGCTGCGTGTGTCGAAAAAGTAATATCTTGTGTCTCAGAAGTAGTCCCAAAAGTGTTTGTGGGATGAGATTTAATTCTGTTTCTTGTCATTATTAAATACTGATGTGCTTGTATGCTTCTGACTGTAATTAGTGCTGTGATGATTAGTTGATTTATGGATCCACTGGCAGAAATTAATAATTGATTGTCAAATTCTCTCGTTGTTTATCAAGCAAAAATCCCAAACATTTGCTAGTTGCAGCTTCACAAATGTAAAGTTTTGCTGCATGTATCTTATTTTATATCTGTGTGAAATGGAATATATTTGGGACTATTGATCAGACAAAATGAGCAATTAGAAGGCATCCTGTTGGACTGTGGGCAATTTTTCACTATTTTATGAACAAAACAATTGATAACTCATTGAAAAAAATTAAAATAACTGTTAGTTGCAGCCTTAATTATATTATATGGACCCTTAGCGGACTTGCATGTGTGTTACCTGCTCGTTAGTCCTAGTCCAGAAGACAGCCAGAGTGAAAACGGCAGTGACAGGCGGAGCCAGGTAGCTCGTCACTGACTGGATGTAAACATACAGCTGGCCACTATTGGCCGACTGTAGGATGGGGATCCACACCACACTCACCACCACCAAGATCACGGTCACGATCCTGGAACAAACATGCACAGTACATCGTTTTTACTTTCTCTGTACACATGCTTCCCTTTTTTTATTGATCCTGGTTTTAAAAGTTCACCCTCCACTAGCATGATCAAAGTGCATGATTGGCTGGCACCTTCCAAGGTCTAAAGCAGGACAGATATTCTCTGACTGCTGCGCCTCATGAATACCTGCCAACAAGAAGCAGCTCTCGCTCTGAGGCCCGTGTGCGATGTTTCTTCCAGATGTCCATAGTGAAGAGTGTGGAGCTGCTGTTAAAGATGGAGGTCAGCGATGACATCAGAGCAGCCATCATCACCGCTATCATAAGTCCCCGTAAACCTGTAATACACAAACAGATGAACAAATGCATGCAGGTAAAAAAAATCTTATCAAAGCATTTGACACATTTAGAATAAAATATTTGAAAAATATTTGAAAAATATTTGAAATGAGAGCAGTATTCTCACCGCTTGGCATGAGTTCAATGACCAGTTTGGGAAAGGCAATGTTGGAGCATCCCACCTCAGCTCCACAAACTCGCACACACTCTTCTGGATCCACACATCCTACAGAGTCTGAAATGTGAAGACAGAGTCGCAGGTCACAAGGGGGGGGAGGACCTAACAAAATACTCTACTTGTGCATAATTCAATTCAATTTATAGTACCAGTTCATAACAGAAGTTCTTGCGTCTCATTGTTTTTCCCCCCAGGACATGAGACTTGTAATAAGAATGAATCAAATTCATCCTCATCACTGCTCCATGTAGTTTATTTCTGTTTACCTTTTTATGATTGTTTTACTTGTTTTATTGACTGCTATGTAGCAAAAGGAAGTTTCACACAGAATTTCTTTTTACAACCACCTTGTAAAATAACAATGAAAATGACCTTGAAACCTTGAATGCAGAGCAGCTCTAGACGATACTGTTTATAATATCCATTACAGAGACCCAACAATTGAATTAATGCTCCTTTGCTCTAATTTCTGCTTATGAAGAAGTAAAGGAGTTGAAGAAAGATTCAACAAAGTAGCTATTTTTAACTTCTGAGCAAATTATGATCCTTACTGTTAACCTTGTCTATATTTTTGGCATGATGCATATATTTTTGTACTATTTGCACTCTCTCCTACTTTGTACTGCAACTGCTGCACAAAAATTTCTCTCGGGATAAATAAAGATTTATCTCATCTTAAAAGATCATATTTTTAACAGTAATGTTAGACTTAATGTTAGACTTAACTACCTTATTTTGGATTTACAAACGTAACCTGTACATGCCCAATTACACAAAATTCATGTTATCTGTTAGCAGAAACTTGAAATTACTGTTATCAATAACTTAACCCCTGTTTTCTCTCACACAGTGAGCAAACATGTGCATGTACATAAACCAATGTTCGTGCACAACTATGAACACTTGAAATACTATGATATCACCTTGCTCTTTTTTGTATTTTGTTAAACTATCTGTTAGGTCAGAGGTTTTCCCCTCAGACAAAGCCTAGTTTACTAGTTTTTTTTTTTTCTCGATCAACTCCTGGATTACTATGGGATCATGAGTATGTGATTTGATCCCATAGACACTCAACAACTGAGATAGTCTAATATTGTTGTTTGTCTACACCAAATATATATATATAAAAAAATTTAAAAAGACATTTATTAGTTACTTACTCTGCCAAAGTGGGAAAAACTAAAATTCTCCTCTCTCTTTAACCAAATCACAAACATTAAGGCTATGTGATCTCTCCTTTTGATAACTAATTTAATAATAATTGTAATATATCCCCTGAAACAGTTTGGAGAACCCCTGTGGAAGCCCACCTCCCAATTTGTAAACCTCTGTGTTAGGTGATAAAAAAGTGGGCTCATAGCAAAGTTTGGTGCATTTGTCTAGCTAACCCTAACCTGACCTCATAATCTTAAAATATATTAACTAGGTTACGATAACGATAGGCTGCAGTAGACCTTACAGTGACACATCATTAACCAGCATCACATGATTCGCAATAAGTTTGGTATCAGCAATGCATTAGATAAATAGGACACTGGCCCAAATAACATTCTCCTCTTTAATATGCATTTCCTTTAAATTGTTATTTTTAAATCAGTATTAAACTACACTAATAATTCCACAACCATTTTATACGTTAAGAAGTATAGTCATTATGGCAAAAACACAATAAAGTCGGTAAAACAGAGTTCGTCATTGCACTGTTTGATTCCTGTCCTTCAGTCCAGACAGGAGGAGGGTGGAGTTAATGCCTCTCTTTCCTAACCAACTACCGGACACTCCGCCTTTCTGCCCCCGGTAACAGAGCTTCCGTTCCCGCATTCCAGGGTCAGACACTCACCGGCTACTCCACACACCGGACCTCGATGAACTTTCTGTCTGGAAGGTGGAGGCGGAACATAAGAAAACATAAACCTGACCGGCTCGGACCCAGGGAAAGTTGAGACTCGCGCGCGTGACGACTTGTTGCCTTTCGGGGAACGCAACAGTTGGCATTTTTTTGTGTGTGTTTTGAGCAGCTGCGAGGCGTCGCGGTCAGACTTCAGCGAAAAAGAGAACAGGAGGAAAAGTGACTCGTCAGCACCAACAACTGAGTCACACACAGTTTCAACACATTCATATGGGGATTAATGACTTCTCTCTCTATCTCAAGTACGTGTTCCGCTTCGGCTTGACTCACTGGCAGTCACACGGATACAGGCATACACCCAGACAGCTGCCTGCCTCCGTGTCTGCAGGGCCCCGAGGCTGGAGCAGCTCAACCGGGCCGCTGCTGGCACTGGGCAGGTGAAAGGCGTGGCGTTGGGTGGGGGTGCTTTGTGTGAAGAACACCTGAGGGAGGAAGGGTGTGTAACCTGATGTGTGGGCTGACTGCAGCACACTGGATGTGTTGAGGAACTGTTCTAGCGGTTTATGCCCCTCAGATTCTAATCTTTCCCAACCGGACGGGTCTGTTTACCGCCTCACGGGCCCAAATCACGCGGACATATTATGGGCCGTAATGAAAGATCGCACTTCTTCGAGGTTTGACCCTTCAGATCAAAGAGTGGAAACTGGGTCAGGGTTGTTTCAGTACTTAACTATTTAGTGACCGGTGGATCTGTCGGTCATGGCGTTGTCTCAGATCCAATGTTTGGACGATCACCACGTCAACTGGCGCGTGAGCGAGAGCAAACCAGAGTTTTTCTACAGTGAGGACCAACGGCTGGCGGTCGAGGCTCTTATCTCCAAGGGCCGCGATGCATTCACGGACTACATCCGGAAGAATGGCATCCGGGAGTTCCTTTCGGAACCGGAGCTGGAGCGGATTGAACACATAGCGGAGGCCTACCGGCCTGGGCACGAACACCACCAGAAGCCAGAGACGCCAGGACCGGGGAACACCACCCCGGGGTTCTGGGAAGAAGGGGGAGACGGCGAGGTGTCGCTCGAGTACTGGCCTGACCGATCTGAGGCCTCAGTGGCGGTGCTTGATCTCGGGTGGCCCGAGGCAAGTTCATACCGAGGGGTCACACGCGTTACCGTGCACACCCAACCTCCAGCCGACGGCCACACGCACATCAAAGAGGTGGTGCGCAAGAGCATTGCATCAGCACAGAAGGTAATCAGTGAAGAAGATGTTGGTAGTGGTGATGATGGTCTTATAATAAGCAATGAAGTTCAGGGGATCTCCATCAGATCAAACAGAAAATAACAAGCTTTCTGTCTGTAACTTTTTTGAAATTTGTAAGTGTTGACATTGTGTCAAAAAGGCATTCAACTCTTCAGCATTCTTTAAAGATAACATGTTTTTGCATAGCTTGTTATAAGTGTTTATATTTGGTTGTCCCATTTTATGTACATGTGGTGGACAAATGCATTTTAGTGTAGAATCACATAAAAAAAAAATCATAATATAGAGGCTCACAAAATGAGTCAACACATGAACAACCCCCACAGTAATGGTCACAACAAAAACTGATGTGAGGTTGCCTATTTATAACAGTGCTACCGAATGCACCACAATACATTATGGTTTTAATGCTTCTCTGGTTGCTCGTTGTAAAATGCAGGTCACTGTCACAAACAACACCACAAACCACAAAGCAGCGCTTGTCTGACACAGTAAAGAAAAGAGCTTTACAAGCTTCACACGGGTATCACAGGGCTATTGTGTTTAGAGCTAAAATGATTAGATGATTGGCTGATTGACAGGAGATTTTTCAAAAACTATTTTGATAATTGTTTCTGTCACTTTCTGGTTCCAGCTGCTCTAATGTCAGGTTTTTACAGTTTTTCTCTGTGATTAAATGATAGTAAACTGCACGTCTTTGGGTTTTGGACTGTTGGTCGTACAAAACAAGGAATTAAAGATGTGACTCTGGGTTTTAAGAAATTATAATGGGCTTATTTCACTTTTTTCTGACACGATTGATTAATTAATCATGACTACAATGAGCAGATTAATTCATAATGAAAATAACAGTTAGTTGCAGCCCTAATGTTATTTTCAACCCCCTCCTAGTTCAGTATCAGTGCTGTTTTATGTTTAAATCACTGACAGATTAAGAATGATTGTTTTGATCAGAGGTTTGTAGTAGTTGTACACTAGGCTAACTCATATCTACCAAAAACAATCTGACATGATCTTTTTTGGACTGAATTTAATCCAGGCTTTCTCTAATTTCTATCTGTGTAAAGTTGTAAAGATTTATTTTATTTGGTCCATTTACATAATTTCATTCTCATTATTTACCTCTGTGTTGTCTTAAGAACCTTCTTCCTTTTCACTTCTTCTGTCACATGTGCCACACTCACATGCACACAGCAAGGTTTTAATGACACAAGTCTGATCTTGGTACGCTAGCGGTAAAGAATGCTCTCACGTCAGTGTTCAAGGTACAGGCCAACATCACCTTCACCTCTCGCATACATAAATGTGAGCACATGCACATATATTTAGTCTAGGTTTGTCCCAAAACAACAAAGGACTTAAAGTAAAGTATGTACTAATATTTATTACAACTTATCTTTCTTTTTATTTCTACTTTTTCTAACTTTTTTTATAGCATTGACAGGAACGTGTTTCATTTTACACAATGACAATAAAGTGAATTTGAAATCTAAAAATAACCTCAAGGTTTACTAACCAGCATTTTCCAGAGCTATTTTCTTGTTCAGCGTATTCACTTTAGTTGTGCAGTTTTAAGATTGAGACTGGGTCAGGTGAAGAGTGAATAGACAGCACTGTGTGAAGAGTACCATGCTGTGTTACTAGTAATGATGTGTTGTTGAACCCACAGAATGCACTGTCCAGCCACTTTACACTCTGCAAAGCACTCTTTGTTCCCAGCAATCTCTTTATTGGAACATCTATGTTCAGAACAGTTAGAATATTCCTTGTCTTTGAGGGTTTAATTTGTGTTTTAGATGCAGTTCTCATAAAGTGCCCAGCTTCCTATGAGAATGTAATGGATGTGATATTGTTGATAAGAGCAGCTTAAACTGAACCCACCCTCATACAACAGGAAATACTAACACCATTTGTGGTTTCTTCTGTGTGTGTGTGTGTGTGTGTGTGTGCATAGGCGATAGCCGTGGTCATGGATGTGTTTACAGATGTGGATATCTTTCGAGACCTGCTGGATGCAGCCTACAAACGCAAAGTTCCTGTATACATAATCATTGACTCTGCGGCAGTCCCCTGCTTTCTTTCCATGTGTGGCAGAGCTGATATGCACCGTGGACACCTAAAAGTATGTATTCACATACCCAGATGATGTTTTGATAAGCCTGGTGATGAGCTAGTTGGATAGATGGATACTTTTGATAAGTATATAATAGATATTTAAGCTCCTGTTCCAACATGTCGAATAAAATGTTTTTGTTAAAGACACATTTCTCAATACGTACATTATACAAGGGACATATTTAGCAGTAGGGCACATGTTAAACTTAGGTGTAACAGGTTTTTGTCTGCAGGCCTTGATAAGGCGCATGCACCAGCCAGTTCGCCACAGGCTGAATGTCTTTGTTATTCTTTGCCTCTCGGAGCTGAACTGGTCCAGGCAGTAACAGAAAAGACTTTCTAAATATTTTGGACTGGAGGCCAAAAACACACTAAGCACATTCCCGTCTGTGCTGCAGGCAATTAGATAAACCACACACGCTACTTTCTGTAACATGTTTCTCTTTCATTTCTCCTTCTTCCTTCCTCTAAAGCGTCAGACCTCCCCCTCTTTCAGCTTATTCCTTATCTTCCATCTGTGCTCTTCTTATGAGCATTTATGACTCCAATGCTTTGTGTCTCCTGTGAGATTTCACACAGAACATTTACGAGGCAACACACAGCCAGGAACCACACCCTTATCACAGGCCCAAAGACAAATACCGCAGGGTGTGTCATACAAGCATGCACTTACGTAGATGCAGTCCATGCTCTAACCTGTAGGGCCAACACGAGGTTATGGTGGTACTGGTAATAATAGAGAATAACTATTCTTAAGCAACAAGAAAACTCATTCTTTTCCTTCCACCCATCATCGTCATCTTTATTTCCCCTTTGTTCACTAAAATCCTTCCTCCCACCAACACTAAATCTCCAAGAACCTCTCTTTACATATCATTAACCGTGTTGTGTAGAATCTGCGTGTACGTTGCTGTGGAGGCGTGGAGTTCTACACCCGGTCGGCACAGAAGGTGCACGGATCACTGAGCCAGAAGTTCCTCCTGATAGATGGAGACAGAGCCATCTCTGGTTCATACAGGTGAGTAGTGTACTACCCAGTATGCATGAACACAGTGAATTTTTTGTGTATTGTTTATTGGTGTATTTAATGCTGCTCTAATTATTATTTTTATATTAACAAGGATTAAATAACCATGTGACACGTAAATGGGGTAGTACTAAGAGACGTAGCCACAGAAAATAATTATCGGACTCTGCAGTTCCCCTTCACTCCACAGAGCATTTTGGTATCTTTCAGCTCATTGTTTTGGTTTTCTGGCCCACAACTTCAATGTTATGCTTCAGTCCAGTCTAATAGTGCTCATCCAGTCTCATTATTTTATTTTTTTTTGCTAACAAGCTCTAAATACCCACTGTACACTACCCACTTAGCACCAAACAGCAGATAGACACAGTTAGAAGCAGATAGAAACTTGGTCAGATAGTCTTAATCACAACTCTAATTGAATGCTGATGTCTGCTGGATTTGTAAACAGGCAACTGTTAGCTAACTTGTTCGCCACAACAACCCAACAAGATGATATGTCAGTATTGAGTTAACTGTTTTTTTCACTGCTCCCAAGTGGCCAAAAATGTCAATGAAACCTCCCAGTGGTAGCATCAAAAAATACATTTGGCAGCAATGTATGCCAATATAGCCCCCCACCTGTCCTGAAACAGTGAGATGAAAAGGCTGAAAGAATAAAATAATTTGAAATATGCCATAATCACATACAAATTACATGAAGTGTCCAGCCAGGGTTAGCCACTTTTGGCCCCTGTGCATGCTGCAACAGTGACTGAAGCATTGTTGCTTTGCTGCAGAGCAGACATACAGGGAGAGAGAGAGACTGAGGCAGACTGACGTATTTGCAGCAGAGGTACGTTAGGTCTGTGAGTGTGAAGAGAACTAAAGGAGGTGGATTCAGTAAGTGAGTGACACTTAAATAAGGTGGAGAATGAAGTATAATTAAAACGGTGAAATAACAAACAAGATGAGTTACTACAAATAGTTAAAAACATGCCCCCTCAACGTCCCCCCCCCCACCCCCCCCCCACCCCAACATAGCAGAAAATACTGATATATATATTTTATATAGGGGAGCCACTGCTGTGAATTTATGTTTCAGTGTCTGTGTTATTCCAGCTTCACCTGGTCCTCATCTCGTTTGGACCGAAACCTCATCACTGTGATCACCGGACAGGCAGTGGAGACCTTCGATCTGCAGTTTTGTGAGCTTTACTTCATGTCCAGAAGTGTGTCTCTCAGCAAGGTTCCCATGGTAGATGAACCAATTCCTGACCCGATCCCTCAGGCGGCTCCTGTTCCGGTGTCAGCTGCTATTGCTAGGAAGCTTATCAATCCCAAATATGCCCTTGTTGCCACAGGAAACCACATAAGTCCCACTTCTTCCGACCAAAACTCCAGCAACAAGAACTCAAACCTCCAGAATCCAACTGGGCTAAAAATAATGAAGGGACGTCTAAAGGGGGTTATCGAAGAGCCACCCATACATCCAGGATTAGCCTGTCTGGAGAAGGCATACCTCATATCGTACCTTCCCACCTGGCCAGAGCCAGACCCACCAAGCGACGTGATTGGCTTTATCAATATCAGGGATGAAAAGCGAGCCAATCAGGTTCACTTACAGAGGTCGGAGAGGTTTGAGGTCAGCCAGGCTATACGCTTTAGCTCACCACTGACACTACCAGCAAAGACTGAGGAACTGGATGTAGGTCGGGATGCAAACGCTGCAGGTAAAGCAGAAAATCCTTCTGGGAATACAAGTACAGAAGCCTCTACTCTTGTGAGTCCAACCAGCAAACAGCTCAGAGAGGAAACTCCGAATAAAGACCAAACTGATGAAACAGATACCATAGAGCCCCCTCAGCAGCCAAATACACCTTTAATACAAAACACACACAAACTGAATTCACACACTCATACACCACCCCCCACTGTTACTGTCACTTCACAGCCAACAGACGATGCTAAACAAAATCCAGAGACTCCATCACCTGCAGCACCTCCTGTTCCTAAACGCCGCACACTGCAGTTAGTCATAGACCCCACCCCCTCAGAGCAGCCTGGCCAGCCACAGGTCACTCTGATGAAAATGGGCCAATTGGAAAATCTGGATGCCTTAACCAAAAAGAGAACCCGGGAGAAGCTGATGCCTGGCCGCATAATATCAAAGGACGACGTCGGGGATTCTGGCAGCAACGGTGACGGCAGCCAAGACAGCACCAAGGTCATGTGTGACCGTGCAGCCGCTGATAATCCTTCAAGCACTTCTACCGCATCAGAAGAGGAGTTTTATGATTGTTCCACGCCAGAGCCAAGAGACCCATTGACCAACGGAGTGACGACGGGGTCAGGTCGTGGGCATCGCCAAGGAGACGGGGTCAACATGATGGCCCGCCTCTCCCAGAGCATGCTGGATCTGCGGGTGCCCACCCAGTCAGAAGACAGCACTGCCCTTATCCGCCAATCACAGCAGCTCCGCAGACAAGCACACCCATCACCGCATAGGCACATAGGACAGGTGAGCAGCCAGTAGAAATTATGTCAATATTTCTAGTCCTTTGGTGTTAAAACAATTACTCAGGTAATCAATTGAAAGACATTTCATGGCCAGAAATTAATATTTTAAGTAATTTATCAAGCAAAAATGCCATCTTTCTGTTCATTCCATGTTTTCAAATGTGAGGGTTTACTTTTTTCTTTTTTCTCTCAGACTAAATGATTAAGTGGCTAGTTAAATTTGAAATAATCATTCATTGATAATGAATAGAATTGTGATTTGTAGAGGTGAAATGATTAGTTGATTTATTGATTGACAGAAAATTCACTAATTTAATAATTAGTAGGATTTTTTATAAGTAATTAAGCAAGTTTGAGCTTCTCAATGGTAAGAACATGCTGTTTTTCTCTATTTTATATCATTGTAAATTGAATATATTTTGATTTTGGACTGTTTGTTGGACAGAATAAGTACAATGAAGACAATGCTGTGGTTTTTAGGAAAATTTAATGGTGTTTATTATTTTCTCATATTGAAATGATTTAGTTGCAGCTCTAGATAACACTGAAAAGTAGATGCTGATTTAATGCTTGTCTAAATCTTTTAAATCTTTTTTAATGTTTCATGAGTAATCACTGACAAAAACAAGTGTAGATGTTCCCAGGAGTATTGTTTGCCATGAGCAAATTGGCATCACAGTTCAGTGATAGTCCAGAGTTACAGGAAAGACACAGACGCTCCCTCACATATAGAAATTCTACAAAAATGGGTGTGTTTCACCAGCAGTGTCAAAACAAGCCACTACCTGCTTAAAGTAAACCTGTAATTCCTTTTTCCTAATTAAATTGTGTGTGTGTTTGTGTGTGTGACTGTCCGCCCACATGTGGTTGCACGCACCTGGATAGAGAGCTCGGCTTATCATGCCAGGGAGGATGATGAAGATAAAAGGCAGCATCTTCAGATAGGCCGCCAGGATTGATGCTCCTTTCACATGACTCATGTTCTTAGCAGACAGGGACCGTTGTACAATTACCTACACACGCAGAAACGCAATAACAATAATTGTACTGACCTTATTTATATAGCACTTTTCAAAAGAAATAAAACCAAGAAATGTATAGTATAATAAAATATACATCGATAAGATTAGAGTGCAATTTAACAGATGAAATGAACAACTGTGGTAAAAGCCCATAAAAACAATTTAGGAAAATGCTATTCTAAAATAATGTGTTTTTAGGAGTTGTCAAATTTCAGTGCTGTGCAAGTAAAGAAGAATGAATTATGGAAAATCCAGAGATTTGGAGACAGAATTCACATGGCGATCAAAATTAAAATTTAACCAAAATTTGAATTTCATGCATTGTGTAAATAAACTACAATGATACAAACATATTTGTGGTCATAGCCCTGCAGCATACAAACATTGATGAATTGACTGAAAACATTTTCCACAATTTTCACAAGCCCACATAGCATTAATTATGCTTTCATACAGAAAGGGGAAGATTGTTAGCTTAGCTCGCTAACATTGGTGCTGATTCCTATAGACCTATATATATTCCTATTGTCAAATGTCACACAGGCATTTCTGCTATGAAGCTTAATGTTTGAAGAACCTAACCGAAAGAGTCTGACTCCATGATTATAACTTCTGACTTCTGATATTTGAAGGAAAGTTTTGATTAGAAGAAAGGCAGACCTGTAGTGTTCTCAGCCTTGTGGGATCATTTATATCAAGTAGATCTAGGAATCATCTGCATAATATTTGAGGAAGAGAATAGTTATGGACCAAGGATTAATCCCTGAGGTACTCCATGTGTGAAATAATTAGTGGAGGATTTACTGACTATTTGCTTCCTCTCTGTGTCTAGCTGTTCCAGACCTCAAAATCTCCAGGTCGTGATGCGCGTCTGAGTGGAGCTAAAGTAGTCATTGCCAAACCGGGAAGTTTTCACCGCCCCACCCGAGCATCTGGCCCTGTGATTGGAGGACACCGTTACTGGCATGGTCAAATGCTGCACCCTGAATCGGCCCATCTTGGTGTGGAGACACGCTCCGGGCGGTCGCCACGACGCCACAGCCCAGGTTACAGAAAGACGGATCACATCTCACCACAGCCGCCTGCCAACCCTTCAGGGTTACTTGGAGTATCTTTCTCAAAACTGAGCAATTTAAAACACTTAAAGAACCGTGGCGGAGCGTCACCGAAGAAAGCGTCTCAAAATAACAAGGCTGTTAGATAGAACTGTAGTATTGGTACACTAGGATGTTGTTGAGGCCAGACTTCCTGCTAAGAAATTGTTGACTCTTTAGTGTGGAATCTTCTCTCTCTTTAGCATGCATTCCCTGTTTTTAAGCCCTGAGGCTCAACATAAAATAACTATTTAATAGGGATTTTTTTGTCTGTGTCAACAAGGACTGGTAGTTTAATTTAATGATGTGTTTTGAGAGGTGTTGTCTATAAATGAAACCAAGAGTTTAGAATTTTAGCAAAGCGCATACTGATATCTGGGAGGAAATAAACTGATATATCAGCTGACATTTGCATGTTTATAAACATATGCATAAGCACACACTTGCATGGATCTCTTCAATATGTTTATGTTTATCAAAGACTTGTGCTAAGATTTCTACCAGAGGCAGAGTATTTTGTAGGTGATAACCAGTCTTAACAGACACCCTGTCATCTTTGGTCAGCTGTGATAAGTCTTCTCTGCCAAATCAGTCACTTCAGTATTGTAAACAATCAACAATTGTAAACAATTACCTCAACTGCTTTTCTTATTTGTATTATGTACTGTAAAGTTTTTCCATATCCAACCTACACAGGCAGGATCAGCCGATTCTGTCTCCCCACATGTACAAGTCAGGCTCTATTGTTGATACCACTGGGATTGGTTACTTGTGGTGTGAGGGTGGAGTTAATGTGTTGATTACTTTCACATGTTTGGCAGATGTACTGGATTACCTATATGCCATTTTACTGATGTGGGACCAAAGGGGATGTAGTAAATAAAAAGACAGCTTGTTGGAAATAATCCAGAACAGTTTGATGATTGTGTATGTGTACAGTGAGGTATTTTTGAGTATGTCTGCTTTTCCCTCGTAGACTGCACAAAAGTATAATTGTAGCTTTTAGTTTTCTCGAGGAATTTTTGAGCCTGGGGTTTGGGTTTGGCGCAAAATCATTATCAGGGCAACCGGGTGGCGCTTGACCTTTTTTTCTTTTTTTTTTTTTTTTTTAGTTGCTGAAATTTGTGGAAGCAGCTGCATTAGTAGAATGAAGTTGAATTTTAGATGTGCTCACTTTCTTTTTAATTCATTTATTTCTGTTTAATTTAAATATGCTAGTCTAGTTGTCTGTTTATTGGTGATGATATTTCTGTGTGCCCAGATTTCCCCAGAATTAATTTAGTTGATCAAAAACTACTAAAAGCACTCAAAATAAGGTAGCTTTTGTATCATAAATGGACAAATAAATTTAAAAAATGCCACCATAATGCATATTAGAAGATGTCAACACCCCTATGGTGTGAAAAAATGCATTTAATTAAATTATTTGATTTATTTAAGAAGTTAGGAATTTCCACACTTCACTTCAGTAAGAGTGCTTTTGTTGCAAGCCTCTAGTGGCAATTAGAGGATCTGGATATATGCCACATCTGCAGCAGTTGAGGTTTCTGCTTGTTTTGTGTATATAAATGTACCTGGTCGGAGCACCAATACCAGGTGGCCAGTATGGTGAGCCCCAGAGTCATGCCGGGCCAGGGCAGGTCTCCAGTGACGGCGTCTCTGAAGAGGTGCATGGCGTCCTGACGTGGCAGGTGGCAGGTACTGTTGGGAATGATCTTTTTGGGCACTGCCATGCTATACACATGCTCCAGTTTGCTGTAGCCGCCGATCTTTTTGAAAGCTGTGGACCGGGAACACACAACTCTAACTATACAATTGCTAAAGTAACTGCAGTTGTGTTTGTTTATAAAGTATGACAATTGTACAAACCAGTGATCGTTAGGATGATTGCTCCTATGATCATGACAAATGTCTGTAGAGTGTCGGTGTAGATGACAGCAGCAAGACCACCTGAAAGAAGGTGAGTGTGTGTTATAGGAATCTTTTTAGATGAACTGACAACACTCCCAACGTGAAACGGGAAATTAGTGATTTGTGTACCTGCAATAGTGTAGAAGGCAGTGACCACCAGCATGAGGACAGTGGACAGGTAGAGGTTCCACCCCAGACACACCTGGACAAACAAGGCTCCAGAGTACAGATCAGTCTGGTGACAGAAAAACAACACATCTGTCAACAATGCCAGCAAAGATTCAATCTCAAATCAGAGGATGTTGCTAAATGGCTGAAAGCCAAAGCATCCAAATGTGATGTGTTAAGTTGCTTATTTGTGCATGTGTGTGACGTTGTCATACTGATATCTTTGTGAAGACGGACAACAGCAGTGAGAGGACAGCCAGGTACGTTCTGATCCTCTCGCCCCCGAAACGACGGCCCAGGTACTCCGGCATTGTCACGATCTGATTACACACATTTCCACATCTTCAACACACCACAGCTACACAGAAGAGGCAAACTTGAAAAGCTCCAGATGGTCTCCGGAGCTCAATATGATCTGCCAATTAGCAGCTGGTGACTGTGACTGTGGTTTGATTTGTTCACACTTCCTGTTTTTAAAAGAATTACATAGGCCTACCAACAGAGAAATAAATTAGGCAAGTAATGTATGTTCTTTGTTATTAGATGACAGTTGTATGTGGTGTTAACACCCTGCTGGGGAATTTTCAAGTAGGGGAGGAGAACGTCTCTTGGCACCTAAATGTACTTACTGAACCAGCCTTAACAAGCAGACACTCACCCGATGTGTGTGTTTGTGTGTGTGTGCCAACTAACCCCTGAGGAGATGTAGACAGGAACAAATACCCAGGCCAGAGCCAGCAACACATAGGTGGCCTGAAAGGAGACAGAAAGGTTTGACCAGATTGTCCACAACAGTCCCCTCAGGAGGGGAAATCACTCAAGCTGAGGTAAATATTTTATCTTTTTAGGTGCTCTGATAGGTCATGTGCTAGCCTTTGTACTGTGGCTATGGACTGACTCATGGATTGTACACCGCTTGATGCAACTAGATGGCATTAAAATGTTCTGCTGCTGCCCCCTGTGGTGGGTTGCCTGCAACAGCTGTTGGAGGAAGTGAAAACACAAATACACAATTGGTCTAGACAGCCATGTTCATGCGCTTATGCCAATTGTTTTCATCTCAGATACAAAAGGGAAATTAGTTATTGTAGCTGCATGTTGTTTTTTCTTATACAAATAGTTTGTGCACACCACAAAAGAAATAACATGTTGATGGATTAGCAGGCTAGCTCTGCTTCATTCCAGACTACAATGTCTTAAATTACTATTAATAGATAAATTAGAATAGCATAATGTTTTATTGAATGGATGGATGTGTGCATGATGTGTGTCTACTCACATTCCATTCAAAGCCAGCAACAGCGATGCCTCCAGCAGCTCCAGTGCCAGCCAGACCAATAAACAAACCTGAGCCTTCTGAACTGGCAAAGAGAGACGATCCAATCTGTGCACACCAGTGATGGAATTAAAAGTACCAATACATCAATTCACAAGTCTGTTACAAGTAAAAGTCCTGCATTCATGATCAAACTTAAATAATAGCAGTAAAATATACTTAAAGTATCAAAAGTAAAAATACTTGTTCTGTAGAAAAATGTACAATATATTAAATATTACATTGTTGTTATTACTGATGCATAAGCAGCATGTTTGTCATGTAGCTGGTTGACATGTAGCTAGTTTTAGCTACTTCACTTAGAGTGAGGTAGTTTAGTCCAGTGGTTCCCAACCTAGGAGTCGGGTCCCCTTCAAAGGGTCAGAAGATAAATCTAAGAGGTCATGAGAAAATTAATGGGACAGGAAATGAGAAAAAAAAATTCTGATATACAAATTTGTAGGACTTTTAAATTTTAACTCTTTGCGCCTTGAAAAGTTATTTAAATTAAATCACGTGAAAAGGTTAGAGGGGAAGTCACACTTTGGTGGAACAGCTGACAACTCAGACAATGCTTTTTTGTAAGGGGTCACAAGCCAAAAAGCTTGGAAACTAATCTAATCTTCGACTACATTGTATACTGTACTTTATAAGCTTAATCTGACAAGAAACTAGCAGATAACTATAATGGAGTAATAAGTACAACATTTCCCTCTGAACTGTAGTGCACCAACTATGTTTGTCTTTGAACCTGCTGCCAGGCTGCCAAATATCAGTATCACTCTTTTACAATCATATCCAAGCTTGTAGATGTTTATATAACGAAGATTATAAAAATGAATTTAGCTTCATCCAGTTAAAGATAAAAAACACATACCATCTGCACAAGAATTGGAAACTTCTCTTTGGCCTTTATTCACAAAAACAACTTTAGCAGTGTTACACACACTCACCGGCCACCAGGCCATGTCCCGTCCAGCCAAGAAATATCCGCTCAGAGTATTCCTGCTTACCCTGCATGACGACTGACAGAGACAACTGTTACACAGGAGCATCCACACACATACACATAAGCAAAAAAACACACACACATATATACACTTCTCACCCAGATGCCGACAGCGAGGTTGAGAAGAAAGTAGGTTGCAATGACCACAATGTCAGAGAAGCTGAAGGGCTGATGCTGGGCGTAGAAGTTGGTGGTGTCGTTAGACATCTTCAAGAAGTTCACAACAATGTGCACACACACTTAAAAACCCCACCAAAAACACACAAGTTTGCTTCTTGTATTGTCGTGCCCTTACAGCCACACATATACACATACACACAAAGACACACACACCTGTTGAATCTAACCCTTACACCTGTCTCGTCAACCCCCTCTCATAATCTGACACTGTACACCTACTTTGCAAACACCCTGAACACCAAAAAGAACTCATAACACTCCCTAAAAACGTGCAAACCACCAGACAGTCTCATTAACAACCTCGGCCTTTAAATGCTCACTTCTGTTGCAACACCTATACAAAAATAACTATCTTACTAACATGAACACACACACACTCCAGCCTTTGGTAAAAGTCCCTTCTTGTCTGAACAAGCAGCTGACCTTGCTGTTACAGAAAGTCTGAGTGTTTCGTGTATGTGTGAAGAGGGGCAGTCCCTCGGTTGAATTGATGATTAAACACATCACCTTAATGTGGCACCTGCTGCGCTGACACACACGCTGTGCTAGGGGATAATGGAGTGCATGGTATGGGCGAGCAGTGGACTACGGCAGATGCTCATGTGGACCAGAGTCCGCGCTGATGCATGCACACACACACACACACACACACACACGGTCAATAATTGGCAATGACAAGTTTATAATCATTAGCGTCTAAACACACAAACATTTGCTGGTAAGTGCTAAGTAGGGTCAGTGAAAGTGTGGGAGAGAGATAACAGTTTTTACCTGTTTATAGTTTCATTCAGTAACTTTTAGGAAATAATCTGAAAGTCCATATGAATAATTTTACTCCATTGAGACAACTTGTGAAAACTGTGACACCTAATGTTAAAAAATGAGCTTTTTTTTTTTGAAGATGTTACTCCAAAAAATTTAATTTTTGAGGTTTTGCTGACTGATTTGTCTCTAGTCAGCTCACTCTCCGGACAAAGCATTTGTCAGGGGCTCTGAATTCTTGACAATTTTATGCAAGATAAGTACATGTCAAAATGTTTGTTTATTATTGTCATTATTATAGTCAGTTTAACAGCTTGCTCCTGCTTATCATAGGCTACATAATATCCACATTTCACCAAACCAAATATTGTGCTGTCATGCTATTTTTCATGAGAGCTGTCTGTCTTGTATCTATCTTTATGTAGTGTAGGCGTTATTTGTATCTGCATATTTTCATTCCTTTTATTATTGATTGTATTTTATTCTAACGTTTGTGCTTTTAACTTTTGACGGCGTCTAACAGTAGGAGCAGCAGCAGCACCAAAAGAAAAGTCTCTTTTTGAGGCACTTTGCTGCACCTGCCTCAAGCGACTTCTTTTTCTCTCGCTCAACTTGTCAGAACCACCTTTGTGTTTGGTTGCATGTTTTTTATCCATGATTTTTGGGGTACAAATAACCAGGCTAGAGGTTAAGTCTGCGTTTCAACTGCTGTAGTTACTTTAAACACATCTGGACATTTTTCACGGACAACATGAGAGGACGAGAAGGCCGAGAGGAATTGGGAAGAGTTTGCTTTTGTACTCCCTGGTGTGAAATTAACTCCGTGTCACACGTACCCAGTGTTTGTCTGCTACAAGGAGCAGATGGTAGAGACACCCTGACGTCACAAACATCATCATTAATCCTTCACACAAACACACTCACACACAGAACAAAATGTCAAAGCTTAAGACGAATGACGATTTTGTGTGCAACAGAAACTTTTATTGAAAACAGTCCACAGTACAAATAACTTTGCATTTAGAAGAATTTAGAATTGCTCGCCAATCAATTTCCAGTAGGTCTACATGGCAAATACAAGAAAAGTAACTAACACATCTAAATACATAAATTCATTGAATTTAATATATCATTTTGAGGTGGTGGAAGAAGCACTCAGATATTTTACTTTAGTAAAAGTAACCAATACTACAGTGTAGAAAAACTGTTACAAGTAAAATACTGCATTCACAATTTTACATCAAAATGTATTGAAAGTACAATAATGACAAGTATACATTATGCAAAATCACCCATTTTTGGGTAATGTATATTATAATACTGAATCATAATCAAAGATGCATTAATGTGTGCATTACTTTAATGTTGTAGCCGGTTGTAGCTGGTAAAGATGGGGCTTATTTTTTTTTACTAGTGAATTTCACCAAGCAATCGATAAAGTTTTATTAAAGTATTTTAACAATACATCATAATTTATTTGTTGATTATATATTTTATTATTAATCTGAATATGCAAATAACCAGTTACTATCGCTGACAAATACATGTAGTGGAGTAAAAAGCAAAACATGTCTCTCTTAACTGTAGTAAAAGTATAAAGTGGCATAAAATGGAAATACTCAAGTAAAATACAGGTAGGCTACCTCAAACTTGGACTAAGACAATACTTGCGGTACTTTCCACCACAGATGTCATAAGTGTTCTAATAATAGAGGGACAAAGACAAGCTTCCTGCATATGTTCATGTATTTGTGTCTGCATGCACACCTTAACATGCTTCACATGGCATGTGCACGTGAGCGTCTGAGTGTGTGAAAATGGGGCTCGATAGTCCGCAACAGAAATCAAGGAAGACCAGTCTGCAGCCGAGAATTCAGACAAGCTGCAGATCAAAACAGACTCACATCTTAAGCACCTTATTCTGTATAGTTTCCCTGTGCATTATCTGGAGCGATTGTGTGATACTGAGAAAATATGTGCTGAGATTTAAGTGTTAGAAAAACAAAAACAACAACAATATTTGTAATTCACAGATGAGGAAATATCCAAACATTGAAAGGAATAATAAGCTTTCTCTACCCGAACAGTTATTATCAGTGTGCCTTGTTGCACATACATTGATGCCATCCTGGACAGCAGTTTATGAATTTTCATTGTGAACTTCCTAGCTGCCTATTTGTCTTTAATCTGAGCAGCAGTGAAACAGGCTGTATGATGATAAAGTCATCTACGGATAAACACCTCCATAACAAGTAAACAGCACATAGTGGTATTTTTTTTGGTCACAAGAGCTTTTTTTCCTGCCCAGCAGGGAGCATTCAAAAGAACACTAAAGCCCATTGAGTCAGTCATTAATTGTCAGTGGTCCAACTTCTAAAGGAAGTGAAGCAAATTTGATTCAGGCAATTTCAAAGTGGATCATACAAAGGAAAATATTTGTCCAAGTAATAAATATAAGTATGCAAATTAAGAGCCAAGCCTATTCAAGAAAGACACACAAATTACAATATAAAACCTTCACACATTTCAGGCTATAAATAAAAAGTTAAATAAAGCTTCCTGTAAAAGTGTGATAAACGAGACTACTTAAAATACACTTTAAAATGTTATTACATAGGATACCTTTTTACTTTACCTAATTTGTACACCATGTGAGGATATAAAGATGTTTGTACACCTTATGAAGATATAAAGATGTAGTGCCACCCTCAGGTAGAACTTGTTTATCCTGATCGGTCAAAGTAAAACAACGTGGTCTTTGCGTTTTCATGCCAGTAATGCAGGCTACACATGTCACAACCATAGTCTACAGGAGATGATGGACATTTAACCCCCCAAATTTCTTAAATTTAAAGAAAAGTGTTCATCCCCACGGAGCATGACGGGAGCAGAGAAAAGTTTTAATAACCAATCAGAGAACGGATGACTCGCTTTACCCGGAAGTAATACTTCACAACAAAAAAATTGCCGGGAAAAAGGGAGGCTGCTGAAAAAGCAACGGGAACAATATTTCTGAGAAACGGATTAATAGTTTGTTTGTCTTTAGACTAAACAACTTACCGGGTCTCTGGTTGTACTGTGCACCTGTCCAAGCCGATATGGACGAATATGACGAACTCTTCGAGATACAGGACGACTTCGAGGACCAGTTCGCCGACGAGCTGGAAGTGTTGGCTCAGATGGAGGGTGAGGAACCACTAACGTTAGCTAACAGACTTTATAACTTGAGTTTAAACTGTTATATTAATCTCCACTCACCTTACTATCTTCATCATAAAACACACACGGACCCCAGCTGTCTCTGTTTGCTCCGTTGGAGCATCGGAGGTAATTACACTGAAGCAACTGTCAGCTCATATATTAAATCTTTTAAAAATAATTCTTGGACAAATCTAACTTAGCACTCACTTTGGTAGGCAACACACGAGTGCATCATTGTCCATGCGTAAGATTAACCCATTAACATCCAGATTGCATTGATCATTTCCTCTCTAATTTGCTGTAAGGTTGTAAAAATATAATTAATCCACGCTGTTTGACGCTATTTTGTCCGTCAGTTCTATCTCTTCCTTGGTGTGAGAACAATTTTTATTTGGTTTCATGTTGACAGAAAAAAAATACACACCTTTATTCCCTCATTCACTCACCTCAACATACACACACACCCACACACAATGAAAACAATCTAACAATTTTCAAACTATATCTAATCCCTATTGAGTGAACCTGTTCTGTGGGTTTTAATAATGTGTGGCTGCCCACAGCCCTTGTGTGGAACACAGAGCTGGGCAATATGTCCCACAGGGCTTGGCGATGGGGCCAAAAATGTTATTGCAATAAAATATTTCATATGATTCCATATCAATAATTATCACAATAAATATCACAATAACAACAAGCAAAAATTATTATTTTATTATTTTAGTCCCTCTTCCTCAACAAAATAAATATCTTGATAGAAAAAAAAAGTGCTAATTTGTTCATCAAACATTTATTGAACATTTGTTATATTGTTGGAAAATGAAATTGCGACAATTATCATTATTTTTTTATTGCCCAGAGCTAGTGGGACAGAGGGATTGAAGTGTTTAAGGTAGACTTCAAAAGTGATCTCCAAGCCTATTATGATGTGTTGTCTTTATTTGTTTAGCTCAAGTAATCATTTAGTCAAACAAATGTCAGAAAGTTGTGAAACCTGCCTGTCACAACTTCCCAGAGCCAGAAGTTAGATTAATAAAATTTTTTTCTGGCTGTACAAAATCCAAACACAAGATTACTTTATTATCAAAAATGTTATCAGTTATTTTTGTATTGATTGTGTTACCAACGTATCACTTCAACATTAATTATATGTGTGTGCATTTGCTTGAATGGCTTAGAGGACTCAGGACATCAGAAGCAGGGTCCAGGAGACAGCGTTGCTGACATAGAGCACCTGCTGGATGATCAGCCCATCAGTGAGTTCACAAGTGTTTTTGTCCCTGTTGTGTTTGTTTGTTGCTGTAAGTTTGTACCTTAAATCCGACTTTGTCCTTGCAGCCCCAAAGGCGAAGCGGCAGAAGCAGGATGCAGGAGTGGCCAAGCGACTTTTCAACTCACAGCAAACTCAAGAGAGCAAAGCCCCGGCACAGGGTGATGACATC